GGCCCCTCCCCCCCCAAAAAAAAAAGGGGCGTACGCATCGTACGAGTAGCACTAAGTGGGAACCAAGGGGATCACTGACGTGACCTAAGGAGGGGGAGGCCGTTGAGAGGGGCGTTGGGTCTCTCCTGTTGGTCCCGTTGCATTTACGCTGACGCCTACGCCATGACCTAACAAGAGCAGGCGCGGAACAAATCAAAAGCCCTAACACGGCGCCGCATGTCTCACGCCTCTTGCCCCGGCTGTTGGTGATGCTGCTGCTGTTGCTCATGTCTTCGCATGCGGTACGCTCGATACATTTCTGAGGGCAAACAACGCATGAAGAACCGGAGTGGTTTTTGTACCCCTGCCATCTGGCCAGGTCCATCAAGACATCCCTGTAACCCTCACGAGAAACGTATGAGCTGCAGTGTACGACTCACTTTTGACGTGGGCAATGCAGCCCTTCGCTGAGCTGTCATCCGGGAACCTCAAAACCATCAGCGGCTGCGACTGCAGCAGAAGCCAACACACGCAAGCGCCAGTTCCCAATGTAGCAATACCACCAGCAATATAGCAGAACGTGCTCCGTCCCAAAATACAACGTTCGCAGCATCAGGTAAACACACGAAATGCTTGTGCTTCTGCTCAACAGAGACCGCATGCCACCTCTAGGATCAACCCGAGTTTAGGCCAACTACAGCATACTTCCCCTCATTCCGCTTGTTAATGCCCAAGGGCCTACTTAGCACTGTTGGGCCTCTCGCAAGTGGGATTCGCTGCCCATATACTGACGCTTCAAATTGCCAAGCACTACTACTTATTTCTCCACAAAACCTTAATCCCTCCCCCGCACGGCTGTCTGTGCGGCGGCTTCGAACAGCTCTAGACATTCGCTTTAGCTGGAGCCTACCTTTGTAGCATTGAAGTAAAAACATAAAAGTCTTGCATCATTCTTCCTACTCGTTATTTTGTGGGTCTCCGCCAGTTCCATTGAGGAATACACATCAACAGAGTCATCCTGTTGCTGCTGAAGCAGCGTTTGCTGGTGTTGGTGGTGCTGCTGCTGGGAGTCCCGTGGAGGTTCCTCCTGCTCCTGCTGCTGCTGAGCCTTTAGCTGCCACGGAGGGGGGAGACCCAAGAGGTCAGCAATAAGCCGCCACTGTGCGGCGCCCTCAAATTCATCTGCACCTCTGGGACTTTCCTCAGGCCACCGTGCGAGCTTCGTGATGCCTATTACTCCTTCATTTCCTTGCTGCTGGTGGTCCTGCTTCCGTTGCAGCATCAGCATCTGCTGCTGCTGCACGCCACTGACGAGCACGAGGCGGTCGGGAGTCACTACTACTTCACAAAGTCTCCTGTCTGGAGCGTTGAAGAGCCAGGACGACAAGTGTTCGTAACCCTCCGCCACAGGCATCGACGAAGCTGCTGACCCGTCACAGCCAGGCCCGCTTCCACTGCTACTGCGCTTGGTTAGCAAGCCGTGGGAACCCCCGCGACTCACCAGCTGCTGCTGCTGGGCGCAGGCGTTCTGCTGGCTGTCGGTGCCATTGCAGATAGGGGAGGCTGAGGAGGAGTGCCACTGAAGCAACAGCGACAGAGAACGAGCAGTCAGAGGCGCTGCTCCCCCCAGTAACGACTCTGAAGCAGCAGCGCGAGGGGCGATACTGGAAAGCTGCGCAAGGGAAGGCAAATAGCCTTCTCGGCTTTGGCTAGCTTCTGCAGCCATGTTCCTGCTTATATGGGATGCTGCGCTACGTGCCTCGGACAAAATTGGCGGCAGGGCTTCGCTGGAGCTTTGCTCACATCCACCAGATGCTGCAGCGGCGGCAGTGTGCTGCCGCTGCAGCAGTAGATGCAACGGTGGCTGCAACACGGCCTCTATATAACAAGGGAAGCTCCTCACATCCGAAGACCCTAAGAACACTTGCAGGGCATAGCGAGGAACCCTCAGTAGCACAAGACGGTGCGTTGGCAAGGAGAGCAAAGATGCCCAGCGCTGAAAAGGCAGCTGGGGTGGCAGCTTTTCGTCAGAAGCAACGGTAGCAGTAGAACGATCTCCCGCTGGAGAGGCAGCAGCAGACCATCCGCTCGCAGGCAGAGGAGACCCACAAGACAGGCACCCTTTGCTACTATCGCCGTCGCTGGGCCACCGTTGCTGCAGGGGCAACGGGCTGCATTCCTGAGGCGCGAAGGCAGGGATCAAACCGCTGCTGCGGGTGCTGCTGCTTTTGCTGCTACAACTGCTGAAGCTGCTGCTGCACAATGCGCATAAGTTGGGAAGGTACGGGCCCGATTCTGGCGTACGATCCATGACTGCATGCGTTACTGCTTCTGACAAGCTTGCTGCTACTGTTGCAGCTGCTGCTTCTGCTGTCGCTACTGCTGATTTCCTCCCTTTGGAAGAAAAGCCCCGTGGAGACTTCGCGCTGGACAGCCGCCGCCAGGCGCCTAAAATACCCCCCAAGTTAAGGCCCTGAGCACCGCTTGGCCTGGACGTGCTGTTGCTCCTTACCTGCTGCTGTTGCTGCCGTTGCTGGTGGTGCTGCTGGTGCTGTTGATGCTGGTGCTGCATGCGAACGATGTTAATTGACGGGGACGAAGCCAGAGGAGGGAAGTTAAAAGGCGTCGTCGAGGCGGAAGAGTTAACATCTGATGAGAGAGAAGACGAACTCCATGCTCGAGACAAAACAGAATGACGACTGCCTCGGCGAGCCGAATGCTGCTGCTGCTGCTGCTCCTCAAGGCGTTGCTGCTGTTGCCGGGCCTCCGCGGAGCAGAAAGAGCACGTGCTCGTCATGTGGTCCACCAGCTCGAGCTGCTGCTGCATTGCCAGCCAATGACACGCGACGTATCCACCACGGACAAAGGAGACCCACCTGCAGAGCAGAAAGCAGCAACAGCTAAACTACATTCACTGCAAGAATGACAGGGGATACACTCAAGACACTACACACACACATCACTGAGTACGTCCATTGCAAAAAGCGGATCCACACATCCACACACCCACAAAATTCAAACTGAAAGACAAAAATACACGTTGGCGTCGAGGACAACAGCGACAACGAGTTGCTGTAAAGCGCCGCTTGCTTGCTTGGAACTGGCTGCTATGACGCCATTTGCTGCAGTGTGTGACTGCTAACCTCAGCGCCATCTCTTCCGTTAAGAAGTGGTATATCTCTGCAGCGTTTGCGTCAAGCGTGCCATCCTCCGTGAGGAGGCAGACATGGTGAGAAGGCACCTGCAGCTGGTGCAAGCCGAAGGCCTTTCGATTCTCCTCCGGGGTCAACGAGGTGCAGCAAAACACATCCAAGTCTGCAGCTCTGTCCCCCGCAGTCTCGGATGCCCCACCACTGGTGCAGCCGCTGCCGTATGCCGCAGCTTTTCCAACGCAATCAGCGCTACTCTTTCTTGTTGCAGTGCTCACTGTCTGGTGCTCGTCTGTTTGTGGCAAGGCGCCGTCGCCTGGACGAGACCCCTGCACACTCGCGCCGTCCTCGCACTTTTCTTTGTCCTCTTCTTGATACTGCAACTCCTGCTGATGCTCCTGTCTCTGTTGCCTCTTTTCCTGTAGCTGCTTCCCTACGAGGTGCGACCCACGCCGTATATCCAGGTGCATCTTATTCGGCTTTGCTGTCGCCGCTGCTCCTGCTTCCACTTCATCTCCGTCGTTTGGTGCAGTCAAAAACGCCGGCACAGACGTTGGCTGCTGCTGAGCGTTGCTGCTGCTGCAGCGCAAGACTGAGGGAACCCTCCAATGCGACCCCTCTGCCTGACACAGAGGCTGCACGATTGCAGTCTCCAGGCAACTACAAGCGGTAGTCAAAGGCGGGGGAAACCCTTCTGCTCCTGCTGCCGCACCCTCAGAGGACGAGTTACGCAGCCACCAGGCAGGGCTGACATCTCCCCGAGGAAACGGCTCTGACATGCAGCGACGGTGGGGGGGCCGGGCCACTGCTGCTGATGTTGCTGTGTGCTGCTTGCGCTGCTGCATCTCAACCCTTGAGGACTGGGAATTTGTGGACCCCCGTCGTGTTGTTGCTAATGCGGTTTGCGACGATACCACGTTCACAGCAGCAACGGACGAAGCTCGCGAAGGTCGGCCTGCGTGGGCCCCCCTGACGGCTGCCGTAGCTGCCCCAGCTGCTGTTGCTGCTGCTGCAGATGATGCAGATCCAACGCCCCCAGCAGATGATGAGGAACGGGAATCCCCAGGGGAACCTTTCCACTTCAGCGAGCGCAGCAGGCGCGTGGCTCGCCGCCGCTGCAGTCTCTGCCTATCGACGTCTTCACGTGCTGCTCTGCTTCCCGGAGAACTCCCCACAGACGGGCTGCCGCCGCCGCTGCCTGTAGCCAACGCAGCACAAGCAGCAAGAACAGTAGCACATCACATGTCCTACTAAATCCACAGGACAGTGGCAGATGCCACCGTTCTGCTGCTCCACCCGCATGCTGCTGAGGGTCGCTTGCGGTGACCAGCAGCAGCAGCCAGGCGCAGCAGACTAGGAGCACGGCTGCTACGTGGCCTCGCACGGCGCAGCCCCTTAGTGTACTGTATTCCTACCACCGCCACCGCAGCAGGAGGTGGAATGCGAGCAGCAGCAGCTGCTACCTCTGAGGTACTCACTCAAGCTGCTTCTGGTGGGCTGACCGTCCACGGCCGTCGTTGCTGCTGTCGTTGAGGGATCGATGGCGCCCACGAGAGCAGGTAGCGTTTGTTTCCAGTCCCCTAGCGCATCAACGTGAATGGCTGGGGGCAGCCGCCCACCCTCGAAGAGCCACTGAGGCCTCAAATCCAGAAGCAGGAGCTTCCAAGTAGGACTGCGCCCTACAACCGAGTCTTCTCTCGTCCACTGCGAACCAGTGCATGCATCTGCAGCACAAGCTGCTGCCGCTCCTGATGCAGCTGCCGCTGTAGTTGAGCCCACGCTGGTGCAGTATCCACGGAACCCAACGGTTTCACACGGAGGGAAAAGAGGCGCCGACGTACGGCCGTAAGCGTGGCTGCGGGGAAGGAAGCAGCAGCACCAAACAGCGAGAAGCTTCTCACAGAAGAGAAAACGCATGCATGAAACAAGTCAGAAGCAGTACAACTCAGCGTTCAGCTGCTGCTCGTGCCAGTGCTGCGGTCCACTGAAAACCCCTTGGTCCGGCGCTCACACAGCGAGCCGCGCAAATAGCAGTAATGAATGGCTCACTTGAGTACTTCCTGGGGCAACATAAAGAAAACCCGTTCAGACTCCATCGGCTGCAAAGGCTGTATGTGATGATCCGTGCTTCCTGTCTGCAACAACAATAGCAACAGCAGCAGCGTCACGATCTACAAGTCAAGAACAAGAGCAAGTGCCATTTTAACGGCAGCTCCTAACAGCGGCGACAGCAAAGGCCCCCTCGTTGGGAGAGACGGGCGTAGCAGCAGCAGCAGCAGCAGCACAACCAGCAGGAGCAACATCCACCAGCTGACGAAGCAGCAGCAGCAGCGACGCAACGGATTCTGACCTGTGACGCGCAAAAACTGTACGAGAAGCTGAGAGGCGTCTGATTGCGGAGGTCCTGTGCAAGGCGCCACAACTGCAGCAAACAGCAACAGAAAACGCACGGAGGAAGCAGCTGTGCCTCCCAAGCCGCACGGCTCCACTACACTCCACGTGCACCTCACCAGAAGGAGCAACAGCAGCAAGAGTAGCAAAAGCATCGGAAGATAACGCCTTACAAGCGCAAGTTCTGGGACGGAGTTTATGGAGAGTTTGCTCAGCGTCTCTGGCAGCTGGGATACCTCAGTGCGGAGCAGCAGTCGTCTGTTGCTGATAAGGATTGCAAGGGAAATAAAGCAGAAGAAGACGCTGTCGCGTTCCAACATTAGCCAATCCCATAATACAAACAATACCGGCAGCTGCACCTTTGACGAAAACAAAGTTAAAAACCAGGGCGTCACATACAACTCCGGAGTCGCAAAGTGCCTCTCTGCAAAGCAAACATCAAATTGAAACGCCATCCACCCTTTAAGCCCCCCAATAAACCCTAACATAAAAAATATAATACTACTACCCTAAATAATCATGATAATAGTACTAATAATAACAATAATAGTAATATTAATTATAATATCCTAATAAAATAAATTCTAACAGGCCCGGTCCTAGGCCGCAAAGGGTAGACAGTGCTGCAAACCCTAGACCCTAATGAACAGCCCAAAGTTCAAACTACAAACACACGCGCGGAACCCCAAATACGCCTTAAAACCCAACGCTTCCTGCCTGAACCCGAAAGCGTAAATCCTAAACCCCGAAGACCCTAAACCTTGGGCCGAATGTCATCGCCTTGAACTCCTATAGGCAGTGTATGAGAATCTCATGTGATCTATACTCCGTGCGCCTCTGGCAGCGGGGTTGAGTTTGTAGCCACTTCGCTATGGTTTGTGTTTGTTGCGTATAACGTGGAGGCTGGTTTGTCTTGGCCAGTGCTTGTCCTGTTCAGGGCTGCATGCTTGCAGGCATGCATGCATATGTGCATGCGCGTGCATGGGTGGGGTTGGGTGGGTGTTTGCCTACCCAAAAAGATTGCCAAGGTGGGATCGTGGTAGGCGAGGAGGCGGTTGAAATGCTGAAAAGAAGACTGCAAAGCTGTGAAGTCGTCGTCCGCAAACTACCCAGGCAGAAATCTCCCAACAAATGCCACAAAACAGCAGTACACCTCCCAAGTCTCGAAGCCTCCTTCTGATGCCCCCAAATACAGAAAGGGAGCTGCATACACATATGCGCACAAATAGACACACACATACACACACACACACACACAGGGATTCATAAAATCTTGCATTAACACGTACATACACATACACGCAGACGGACTCATACAGCACAAATGTATACACGAACGTATGTTCAAGAAGAAACACACACATGAATGTCAATATTTACAAATGCAAACAAGGGAAAGGCTATACACAGAAAGGCTAAACACCATGAGAGGCTCAGGGCAGACGTGCACACAACCACAAAAGCCCTGCCAGCGAGACCTCAGCAACTCTGCGCAAGTCCTCTTCCGGTTGCTTCCAGCCTGCAGCGCCTACACGAGAGCAGCCTGCGCTCCTTGTGCTCCTCAGCTGCTGCTGCTGCTTCTTGTGCAGCTGCAACAGTGGATCCTTACCGAGGAGCTCGTTGAGGCCCTGCTTATACTTCAGCGCATGCGATTTGCAGTAATATGTCAGCATCTGTTCCATCAGCTTTCGCGTTTTCGCCTCCCTAAACACCGCCAGCCGCGCGCGCGTCCGTTCTACATCGCTCTTAATGACCCTCTGCAGCAACAGCAATAGCAACAGCAACGGCAGCAGTAGAATTAGCATTAGCAGCAACCCCTCTGTCTACCCCCCCCCCCC